AAGTGATGACCTCTACTTTCAGAAGTTTCTCTGATTTATGTTTCCAAATACGAGATGAATTACAGTTACCTCACACCCCACACTCCGACGCACAGTTTTCATTCTCCTATACACACACACCAACGCACACACTCTGCAGCTGTCGCCCTAGACAATACCTCAGCTACCCTGATAATTATCCAATCACGCCCGGGCTCATTGCGAGCAGCAGGGGAGGAAACATGATTACATGTTGCTAATTAAGGCGGGGCAGACAGGAGTGCGCCTCTGATTGTGAGCAGCGACTGGAGCTGCTTCCAGATCAGCAACGTCTACTTAGTGAGAGCTGTAGCAACATGGTAAATGATCACGGCACATTAACCTCTGACCTTTGTTATTACTCCAACAAGGAGGTTGTGTTTGCTGATTGTCAGCAAGATTACTATAGAGAAAGTGCTGCAGACATTCGAAAACAGGGATCAGAGGGAGGAGTGAGGATGATGACATATAGTTATTGATAGAAGTGAAACCTGGGCTGCTGTTGGGCCGCCATGACAGACACGACATGTTTATCGTTTCCAAGGAAACACCTGATGTTACTTCAAAGAAATGCTGCTGAAAGCTGAGAAGTTGTTTGTTAAAAAAACACGACTTTTACAGGACGAGATCAGCCAAATGAAAGGTACAGCTTTGTCCACAGGGGGCGCCAAAATCAACACAAAAATAAAGTTCCTCACAGTAGCTTTAATGAACAGGATATATAATGTGTTGTTATGAAACAAAAAATGATATTGCCATTCTCGAGGATACTGAAATCTTCAAACAACCTCATCATTTTATAGAAATTTTAATATCAGTGCCATAATAAAAGATTAGGAGACTTCTGTTCTGGCCCTTGAGCCAGGTTATGACAAACTAAATATTTAGACTTTGGTAACAAGCTGCTGTTTCCGTCAAAGTATTTACAGGATTGACATGATGAAAAGGTGTTTTTTCTTTTTTGAAATGAATGAGGAGTGTGTCGAATATGTTATGTTAATAAAAATAGAACAGGAGGATGGCACTTATCGCCACAATCATATCCTCACTATTTTTATAGTTATGGAAGTATATATACCTCAACAGTTGACCTTGGCAGAGGACGACGCTCTGAGTGGAAACCTTGTTTCCTAATGAACGGCAAAGATTTAAAGAACCTTTCATGTCTTAAATCTTTTTGACACTTTTTCCACAATAGATTTATCTCCCTCCACTGAGCACCGTTCAGTTGTTAAATATCACTCGTAACTTTTCAACCACATGTCCTTTTGGTCCTCCTCCAATCGAGGAAACGCCAATTCAGCTGGACACATCCAACCTCTTTAAATCACTCATTTCTTTAACACACACACACACACACACACACACACACACACACACACACACACACACACACACACACACACACACACACACACACACACACACACACACACACACACACACACACACACACAGGCTGTGTACGTTACACTTCTTTGTGTGCGTCAGACTCCCACACTCGCCCTCTGATCCACAGCACCATTAACCACCGCTCACCTCAGAGAACATGGGCAGTTTTTTGGCAAAGTCGACCACGCGGGTGATGGCAGGAGTGATGATCTTGGTGAACTCGCTGAAGGCCTCTAGGTCCACCTTGTCTCCGTCTGACGAGGGCTCAACCGGGGACTGGCCGATTTTGTCTGGCTGCATGGGAAGAGAGAAGAATGTGGCTGATTAGAAACCTATCAGAACTGACATCACACCAGTTACAAGTTATAAAAGAGGGAAAGCTTAAGTGATAAAGATGACTCAAAGATGGACCAATACCAACAACAACTGATCTTTATTATTAATATCATCTGTGGTGAGAGCGTCTAACTCTTTTTCATCTGTGTTATGAGAACTAATGTTGTCCAGGAACAATTAAAAACACATCAGTGAAACACGCTGTGATGCTGCTCTCCATCTTTCTTCATTAACATGAACACAAAGTGATGTTTATCTCAACTCAGTCCAACATACACAGTGTCCTGCTGCCATAAAAAAAAAATCAAGTGTGTATTCATCCGCAGCTGAAAATAGTCCCCTACAAGTGCAACATTTAGCTTTACCTGTTTGTGAAAAACTACAATGCTCAGATAGTTGGATGTTTAATCAGACTTAAAGGTCACATATCATGAACATACACTTTACCATGTTTCTCTAACACTAATATGTGTCTCTAGTCTGTCTTCAAAGCCCCCAATTATTAAAAAAAAGTCCATCCTCTCCGTCTTCTGCCTGCTCCACTTTTCAGAAAATGTGTGCTCAAACAGGCCGTTTGGAGATTTTCCCTTCATGACATCACAAAGGGCAGTGGCCCCTCCCCCAGGTGGGTGACACTCCCACAGCTAGGAGTTTGTTCTACCCTCTGAGTCTGCCTTCTCACCGTAAATAATAGGACATGGAGCGAGAAAGCACCGAGTACACCCAAGCCCTTCCAGAGAGGGGGCGTGGTCAGACACAGCTCATTTACATATTTAAAGGTACAGACACAGAAACAGCCTGTTCTGAGCAGGGCTGAAATAGAGGGGTTTATAGGCATGAACAAATACAGGATCAGAGTGGATTTAGAACAAGAAACTCCACACACATGAGGAGCTCTGAGACTTATTTACACTGAAGAAGAGGAGGAGAATATGTTGCAAACAGGGTGAGAAAGTATCAGATTAAAAAATCATGTGGCTGTTGATCTTTTTATATTAAAGTACATAAAGAGTTATGCTAGATTTACAGTTTGAAGGGAACATGAAAGTGGGTGTACCATGATTGAGTAGGAGAGTGTATTTGAGCCGGGTAGATTAAAGAACAAAGAAGAAGAAGTGAGATCTAGTGAAGAGTTCGGGGGTGTTCTCTGAATTGAACAGCACAAATGAATAGAATAAGATAATAGAAGAATCAATACAAGCGGCGTGGGGGTTTCAAATAAAGTAAAGCCGGGGAAACCACAGGCTAGAAACACTTTTATACCCTTATTTGCTCGTTTTCTACAAAGTGCTTTCTTTCCTTGGGAGACAAATTAAAAACCAATACATCAGATAAGGAGGGCAGGCCGTGCTCTGTGAGAGGAATGGGACGTGTCAGCAGACAGATTAGCTTTACTTCCAGGAGGACTGCAGCGAGGAACTGCAGAGAGCAGGAATACATGTGTTTATGTGTTTATGTGTGGCTTGTGTGAATCCAGGATGTAACTACGAAAATAAATAAATCTAGTGTCAAGGCTAAAGTTATTCATTCAGTCTGCGCTTTGACGATAAATGGGACGAGATAGAAATGTAGGAATAATCACCTCACACCAGGAAGAATCCATCATTACCCAAGAGGGAGAGGAGTTAAGTAAATCAGTGTGAATTTAGCCAACGCTGCTGAGGAGTTATGGAAAATTCAAAATGATCATAATAATAACTTTGATGGACTGCAACTACGAGAGCCAAAACAAAGCTGGAGTTTCTCTAAAAGAGCTCTCAGGAGAGAAACGGAGGGAGCAGCTGAGGTTCAGAGCTGCTGAGTGAACGCCACAGTGTCGAGTGGAGGAGCGTGGAATCAAACCGCGAGACTAAAGCCGCCTCGGGTTCAGCTGCAGGTCAGGAGTCACAAACTGAGACACAGACGACAGCCATGGATGCCGAGTCGTTAACTCATTTCTGTCTACAGCGCGGCTTAGAGAAACACACTTTCATGCCTCGTCTACCTCCAGAAGCATCGAGCCAGAAAGATAACTTTGTTTTTTTATTCGTCCAGGTTTTTAAATATCTGACATTTCTGCACCGACCTCAATGTGACAAAGAAGCTCAAAGAAGTGATAAATGTTGTTAAAAAAAAGGGCGATGTGTCTCTAAAACATGTTGAGCATACACTTCATGTTTTCGGAGGGACTATTTCTTTAAGAAGAAAAACTCCACAGTGAAGTCTGTGATTTACCCAGAATGACGACAGATGAAAAAAATAGATGATGAAGCTTTTGAAAGATAAATTGAATGGGGGTGCAGTGGTGTGTTAGTGGTCAGTGCGTGTGCCTCATGTACGGAGGCTATAGTCCTCTTAGCGGGCAGCCCAGGTTCAAATCATAGACTGTAAATATTAATGGGTGGAGCCTGAGTGATGTCAGCCATCTGTTCCTGCAGGGGGTTCCGGAGGCTAATCGGCAGCAGCCGCCATGTTGGAAATCCTGTCTTAACCTAACTTTCAGTCAACCTAACGACAGGCTGAGAGCTGGAGCTGAGGCGGGTTTGACCTGTCAATCATGTCAGCTACGCGCCTGACTATGGATAACATGTATCGTTTAGAAAATCAGGATTAAACAAAATACATTTTTGGGCTTTTTATGTCTTTTTTAGTGCGACAGGACAGTGGATAAGAGTCAGATATCAGAAGGAGAGAGAGAGAGACGGGAGTGACATGCGGGAAAAGAGCGACTTTGCATGCTTTTTGTCAGAAGGGCTGAATTCTGCCCAAACTCTGCTTGATTAAGTTTAAGTGTGTACTCCATATTAAGAGAGACAATCGATGAAATGTTTACCCTCAAGTAAAAACACAACATGTTTCAAAGTTTTGCAAACTGATCTTTATGCTACAGCTGCACCTAAATGTACTTATTCTAATGAAAAGAGTTCTCCACCCTCCGTCTTATATGTAAGCAGTTCCATCTCAATACTTGAAGTGTTCCTGGAGCTCTGAACGCTCCTCCTCCTCCGACACTGACTAATGTGGTTCATTATGCTAAGCACAGGTTGATATTTGCGTTTCTTGAACATTCTCTGGGGCGTGTTGGGGCCTGTTATGGACTCATGTAATTTCCCCTGTAATTGCTACTGTTTGTTTATGAACTACAGTAGATGGCCATGAGGGTGGCATACGAGGGAAAACACTTAGCTACAGAGCACCCGCAGTGCTGGAGATGAGTTATAGCTCTGCTGCTGCTGCTGCTGCTGCACAGGCTGGGCGGTCAGGAGGCGTAAACATTCAGGGGGATGTATGTAAAGCCCAAAACACTCTTTTCTGTCATGTGGAGCAAAAATAGGAAAGTTAGGATCTGTTCCAAAAGAAGCAGCAGACATTTGGACTTTGCCATAAAGACTCTGGGACTTGGCACCAGCTCGGCCTGAAGGAGTAAAAAAAAAAAAGGAAGAAAAACGTCTCTTCTACTGCAGTCCCATCAGTTATGTGGAGAGCTTCAACTCTTGACCTTTTATCAGATGGATTAGAGCTGGAAAGTTTGTTCCAGTGGAGCGGGAGAAAAGAGAAATGAGGTCCTAAAGTTGCTGACCCAAATGGATGCTTTCAGTCATGAGCTATGAACTCTACACTTAGTTCATGCTTTGTTGGATTATGAGACAGATTAAATTCATTGTATTATGTTTTTTTTTTTTTTTTTGTCATTCATAATGAAACTGCCTCTTGCTCCTTGGTGAGTTTATAAAGAAGTGATATCCTCTAAAGCCTGGCTCAGACTGCAGGATGATCGAGACGATTTGAGGTCCGATTCTTTCTTCCCGACAAACCGACTCGAGGCTGCTCGGAACCGATCATCTGCCCAGATTATCTTGTAGTGTGAGTCGTGCAAAGACCCAATCTTAACCTCTGCTGTGTTTGATATTTAGAATTTAAAATCTTGACAATTACATCATGAAAGTGTCTGGAGGAAGTTAGCCATTTCTCCACCCAAAACCCAAAACTTTTCCTCTCTGCACAAAGCATTATAATGGCAAATTTAGCTGCTAGCTCCGTTGTTTAAGTGAGGTCACATGAGGTGGTGCGTTCCTCCATCCGGCATGATAATCTTAATGAAATCATGTAGTCTTTGATGTACCAAGATTTTCACATCTTGTAGTGTGAGCATGTTTATGGGAGGAGAATATCTGTTAGGATTCTCCTGGTGTGTGTGATGCTAACTGAATTCAGAATCAGGAAGGATTTTAAAAACTCCTGCAGCGAGATCCAGACTTTACACAAAGCAGTACAGACTGTAAAGTAATTTATCAGGAGATGTTGATCCATACTCAGAGCTCAAGGTGCTGAAATATCTGGATGTAAAACGTTCCTTTCGTGCAAACATTCAGGACACTTCATTACCAGTGAAATAAAGAAATCTGATCCTCAGTTGTTTTTCTTTGAAGCTTTGATATAAATAATCTGGTCACGATATACTCAAATACATTTCACAGTACAGTTCATGAGAAGGTGATAAGATCACTTCTTGACCGCGGCTCGACGAGTATATAATTGAAAGATGTTTTTCAACGTCTCTGACTCTGAATGTCTGCATGCAACCCAAACCGCACTGAAGGACTGTGGGAGATTCTGTTATCAGTAAAACTGTATCCGTCAACGTTTAGAATCTGAATACCTGAGAAGAGCAGCTCAGGCCGGCCGGCAGAAATGTTTGTCTGAGACTAACAGCGAGTGAGTCGCAGACAAAGTAAATGAGTTCACAGCCTATTGAGAGGAGAAGAGCGATGTGAGCTGAAAGGCGGGCAGCGGGGTTTGTGCTTCACTCGGCCTGGAGACGAAATAAAAAGGCCCGCAGCGGGAAATGTAGACTGACCTTTATAGGACGGATGGATAGTGAGAACTAATGGACACTCACATATCATCCTTTACATATCAGAGAATTAACAACGTCACATTTTGTACTTTACGTCTGACAGAAAGAGGCTGATACTGATGAGAGTTATAGAAAGGAATATTCACACATGACTTTGACGGCAGAAGATTCAAATTTCAGATTTTAATTTATGTTAGATTTGCTCTGAGCTGCTGAGCAAAAAGATGATGCCTGACCACAGACAGTGAGAGAGAGAGAGAGAGAGAGACAGAGAGAGAGAGACAGAGAGAGAGAGACAGAGAGAGAGAGAGAGAGAGAGACAGAGAGAGAAAGAGAGAGAGAGACAGAGAGAGAAAGAGAGAGAGGAGAGAGAGGAGAGAGAGAAAGAGGAGAGAAAGAGAGACAGAGAGAGAGAGCGAGACAGAGAGAGAGAGAGAAAGAGAGAGAAAGAGAGAGATAGAAAGAGAGGAGAGAGAGAAAGATAGAGAGAGAGTGTAACTGTATCTCAGACCCGTGTGTGAGCCTGCAGATCTCGAGACTCGAGTCGCGTTCAGCCAAGTAATAATTTGGGCAGGACACGCGAGGTTCAAATGTTGTGTTTGTGTTGTGTTGTGTTCAAGAAGCTGGGAAACTGAAAATAAACCTCTAGGTGCACTAGGTCATGGTCAGCTTGCAGCTTAAATCTGATACTGACTGAATATGTATCAAGTCATAACACCAAAAATAAACCCCGAAGAGTTTCCAGGAACTTGACCGCGACCTGACTCGGCTGTCCTGCCAACATCTCAACAAGTCCTCCAGAGGGTATCAGGTGTTATCACAGCAGATATCTGATTGAATTAGGAGCATTAATAGAATACTGTAGATGTCAACATATTCATTATGTCATTTTTTAAATGAAGAAATTTAAGACGTCGTCGATTTCCTTTCTACTCAAAATGTAAATAATCGATATCAGCTGTGAATTTCTTCCAAGTGGATGATACAATATGACACGACACAGTTTGTTTTCTGTCCCAGAATCCTTCACTCATCAATGCACAGTTTGCTGCTGGTTTTTATTTTACCATGTTTTCAAGCCAGCTGCTCATTGGCTGCTCAACAGATTGAATTGAACACATTCAGGGCCGTCTGCCTCGAACCAAACAAGAGTGCAAGTCTTTCCACAGCTTACTGTAATCAGTGCATCATTCAACAAAGTCACCCTCCAGTGGGAAGTCATTTGTGAGCTCGGGGGGGGGGGGGAGGCAGCGTGAGGAGCCATGTCACCGCTGCCGTCCCCACAGGACTGAAAGGGCTCATCCCGGTCGGCTTAGCATGAAAATTTAGATATTCAGGGTTCAGCAGCTTCAGCCTCCAGAGCCCTGTTAGTGTGGTGAAGCCTGTGTGAAATAGAACTGTTTATCCTTTTAGATGAAGCCAGCTCAGGGCTGAGATACGCTGTTATTTCACTGCAACACGGTAACTATGCTAATGAGTCTCTGGATCCTGGTTTTATAGACACTTCTTTAGGTAAATAAAAATACAATTCTCTACCATTTCTTTCCTTAAACTAACCTCCTAAATGTAAGACTTGATTTACCTGCACATTAAAGAACATGACAAAAATTTTGCATCTAATGTGTGTTATTTTATTTTTTTGACAAGAGTACATTTTGAAACTTCCTCTTCTCTTCTTTGAAGCTCCACACCTCCTCATCCACCTCATCCTCACATGTCCCTCTTCCAATCACAACCGGCCACATCCTTTCTGTTGCCTGGCAACTGGCCACCACAACACTTGCCACTCTACACCACAAGTGCTTTCAAGCCCCTTTCCAGATGAACCCCCCCCTGTGTTTCTCACATCTAACGCCCACCTAAACCTGGCAGATCCCCCGCATTCATCCTTTTTTTTTCTTTTGGCCATTAGCTCTGGTTCAGTGTGCTGCAGGAAAACTGTTAACAAGTGCTCAAAACTTGTACATAATGTTGTGGCAGAGCACGAGGTCAGTGTGTCTGTCAGGGGGTGTGTGTGTGTGTGGGGGGGGGGGCGGTGAGAGGATGATACCAGGCAGGGACACCCTGACAGGCCCGTCCAGGATAAATCTGAGAACGAGCTCAGCAGGAAGACAGTTTGAGAGAGACAAACTGAGTGCCAGCATCCCTGCCAACTTTCAGATGAGCGTGCACATGACGGAGGATTTGCGCTGGCTGAGATAAGGGTGGTGGGGTGGAGGCTCACTGAAAACAGACGGGGGAGAGCAGAGAGGAAACGTAAAGGGAGGCACGAGGGACAGTGAGAGAGGAAACAGAGAAATGAAGACGGGAAAGAGATTAAAGCGAAAAGAGAGAGAAAGGAGGTGTGAATGAAAACTACGACGGGAATTAGGTCTGGTTAAGAGCCCAGAAGGATTAGGATGAATCCCCCCCCCCCACCCCGCTAAAGAGAACTGAGGAATAAAGACACAGGAAGAGGGAGACGCAGAAACAGAAACAGACAGCGGGGGAGCGCGGAGCGATAAAGTCATACAGAGCGTCTTTGACAGGAAAAAGCCTCAGCTCCCCCAGATAAAATGAACCCCTATCATTTATGACATTTCAGAGTGAATATCAGTGTGAGAACATAATCCGAGACGTCCCGCTGTGAGGTTGTGACAGGGTTAAAAGAAGGGAAATGGAAGCACAAACACTGCAGTAATTACCCCTGTGGCTGTTTGTTTGTTTGTCAAGTGTTTTTTTTAAGACTTTAAAAGGCTTCATGATACTCTGATGTTCTCAAAGTCAAGACGTCCTCGCTGCTTTATTATAGATCACTTCAAGCTCTGTGCATTTATGTCCTCCTCTGATCTCTCTTTTGTTGTTTTACCGCTTCTTTGTTGTACGTCAAGAAAAACCAAAAAGGATCTTCTTATTTTCATGTTGTTGGCCAATGTTCCCGTCACACATCATCACTTTGTTCTCATCGTGTAATAAGTGAGATCTTATCTCTGAAACACTTCAGACACAGGAGGAAACTTGGGAGATGTGAAAAATCAGACCCAAGGTAAACAAACGTTATCAAGGCAGACAAAACCTGCCAAACACCACATCACATGATGACATTTATCACTTTGTCTACTCTCTGATTTCTGCATCTAACCTTCTTTAAAGTCTTTATTTGTGATTTTTCACACTTAAATATAATATAAATCAAGTATATCCTCTGAAAATAACTCTGTGAGTCATGACTGTCTACAATGGGTGTAACACCCGAGTCCCACTGTCTGTGATGTTTTCAGAGTTTTCAGAGTCCTATCTTCACTTTGTTTACATCGCCCGGACGGCCGGCTGACTCCTCCCCTCATGTATAAAAGTTGTTTAATTGAGGGACTAGAGAAAAGAAGAATAACATACTGTACTCACTGCTTAACTGTGTTTCTAGATCACGCTCATTTCAGGTAAATTTACATGCAGTGTGAAGATATGAGCATAATAAAGATTGCTAGCGTTAGCATGCTAACACAACAATGCAGCACGAGTTGTTTTGGTTTCATGCTGGTGCTCAAGGGCGACATCTGCTGGATCAAAAAAATCACATATAAAGCCTTTAACTTGACCTTTCAGTATTAACTTTACATATAAACCAAATGTGAACTGTCATTTTGGAACAATCTGCCACTTGAATTTCCTCCAGGATTATTAAAGGAGATCTATGAAACTCACATTCACCATTATTGATGTCAGTCTGGGACACCTATTGAGTAGCGCTGCGAGATGAGCGGCTCAAAAACCTCTTTAATTATCTCATACTGGCGTTAGTAAAATCCCTCATTTCAACCTCTGCCTGAAACGGTTCATTTCAGCTGCTGTCTCTTTAAGGCCCGCCCTCCCCACATGCCCACTTTCCTCCAGCTCTGATTGCAGGCGCAGGTAAATTTGAGCAAGTTACCAGGGTGGGCATGTCCTACAGCTTTGCTCTGATAAGTCAGACGTATAACAGGCATCATCATTTTGTTACTAAAAACATTTTAGTGTATACAGTCATACAATGTTAACGCTTATATCCTTCTGAGGATCTAAACGCAGGTTTCCCCCGGTGTTCTTACCAGGAATTTGCGTTTCTGTTTCCACTGGGAGCCCTGAGCGTTGGTGTGTCGGTGGGCCTCGGTCACATGGCGGATCACCTCCCACTCCGACGTGGTGGGCTCTGGACGGTTCTGGAGAGTTTTCACTATTTCCTCCTTCTTTCGTCGCTCCCTGTTCTCCTCAATGAGCCGCCGTTTAGCAACCCGCTTTGAGTCGTCCAGGACCACTGAGAGGAGGAGGAGGAGGAGGAGGAGGAGGAGGAGGAGGAGGAGGAGAAGGAAGACGATGAGAAGGAGGAGCAGGAAGAGGAGGAGGATGAAGAGAATAATGAGCCAGAGCACACTACGTCATAAGCTGCATTGATGTCATTTGTCTTTTGTGTTGGCTTGTTTTCCTGTGTGTGTCTGTGTGTGTGTGTGTGTGTGTGTGTGTGTGTGTGTGTGTGTGTGTGTGTGTGTGTGTGTGTGTAAATGTGTGGCTGCAGCACTCACAGTCCATGGCCATGCCCACTGCGATGCACTTCTTGAAGCGGCAGAGCTGACACTGGTTGCGGGTGATCTTGTCGATGATGCAGCAGCCATCGTACTTACAGGAGTAGGCCGGGTGGAGGTTCTTTTGGATGGTCCTACGGAAGAAACCCTGAAGAAAGACGAGACGGAGAAGATGGAGAGAGAGACTCATGAGTACATGAAGTGAAAGCAGACTGAAGATAAGCTTCAGGCTAACTCGTTCTTTTTAACGTTTGTTACAAGGGGACAATTATTTGACCACTGCTGCTTCTTTAGAAGGAAACTAATGCAGAGATAAAATCCTTCATTTAAAATGTGATCTACTTTTCTCTGTACCTCACTTTTTATTCTTTAATTTTACCAAGTCCGGGGCAGTCTGTGTAAATATTAACACCAAGGAATAGGTAATAAGTCATTGCTGGAAGGCAGTGGTGTAGGAGTGAGCTAAACAAACCCCGGATATGAATCTATATGCATACATGAATCCTTAAATTTCTGAGCTGTACTATGAGACTCTGGAAACAGTAAAAAAATGTTTATATGATACAAAGTGGAAAAAGTCTAATAAATCAGCTGAGTGAAAATATACAACAAACAGCTTTTCCTTCTGTTTGATCTTCTCTCAACACTGGAGAGGCGTCGCAGATAACCGTTTCATTTCCACCTGCCTTCTATGATTGACATCTGAGAAGTTGAACGTTTTTCAACTTGAGCATCTGGAGCGGCCGCACAAAAACGGCAGAGCGCTTTTTAAAAAACAAGCTGGGCGCTGTGCTTTTTTCTCCAGACGGCTGTTTTCTGCTGCATATGCTCTCTACTCATTGAACTTTGACCCCATCTGTCACATAACTGTATTTATCTTTTTATTATCATGTTACTTCAGCATCTTTTGCACTATTCACCACTGCACTGTTTCTTATTTAGTCTTGTAATATTAGTCTTTGCTTATTATGTTTATTGTTGATATTTAATGTTGTACCTGTACACAAGAGAGCACACTTCATCAAAGTTCAATTCCTTGTGTGTGTGTGTGTGTGTGTAAGCATACCTGGCCAATAAAAGTGATTCTGATTCTTAAAAACAACTGAAAAAGACGCTGGTGCTCAGAAAAAACTGCTAGGTGGACACAGGGCTTTATTGTTACTTGCAGCCCTAGAGTAAATATATTTCTGCATTTCTAGCCACTGCTCTGTGGAAACATTGTGTTATTTGAATGACACTTAGGTATTTCATTTTCAAGCCAATCAATCATAAGATCAATGCATCAACGTAAACCAGTCTGTGTGACAGTCCTGTCACTGGTGCCTCAGATATCACACGTTATTGATGAGCAAACACGAGCAGAAGAAACAAAAGCTCACCGATCATAAAAGTGTCTCACAGCGAGGGGGATAATGGATATGAGACAAGAGAGCTGACGTGTTGGACTGACAGGTTTTTACACAAACATGTCATCCATCTTTATCTGGCTGTTCACCGTGTGTGTGTGTGTGTGTGCGTGTGTATGTGATCGTGTGTGTTTGAAGTAAGCGGCTGTTTCACAGCGTGTGTGAACGGGTGTCAGAAATGTAGCTGTATGTGCAGAAGCGGCTGATCTCAGAGGCTTCCCATCAGCTTTACCTGACAGATATTATGTGTGTTATGGGCCTGTGTGTGTGTGTGTGTGTGTGTGTGTGTGTGTGTGTGTGTGTGTACCTTGCAGCCCTCGCAGGTAATGCAGCGGTAGTGGTAACCTGTGGCCTTGTCGCCACACACCACACATGGCTCATCCTTTTCGAGGTAGCTGGGGATGTACCCTGCAGAGAGGAGGAGAAATAAGAGACAAGGTTTGACAGAATTATGGGATTTTGGTTTCACACAGGCGTCCGGGGGGCCCAACACTGGTATCCCATTACTCTCACAAAGAAACAAGCTTTAGAGCGTCCTCCTCTCCTTTGAGTCACATTACCGCTCAGATCCACTCTCCCTGCATCCCTACACATTATTTGTGTTCATCACCTCTGCAGCACGCTCTGAGACTGCACCATTTCTGCTGAACAGAGGAAACATCAACAACAAGTTAAGACTTTATATACTTATTTACTTTTCACATGATACTACTATTTTATTACAAAAAGCATATCATTATTTATTATTATTATTATTATCTGAATAACATACTTAAACTAGTTAAAATAAAAAGAAATATTTATATGTTTACTCAAAAGTAGAGCCTGACCGATTAATCAGATTCTTTTTTCCCCCCAATATCGGCATCAGCCTGATAAAATCCCATATCAGTCGGGCCCTTCTCAAAAGAACAAAAGTGCTTTTAAACAGACATTTCTTATTTCAAATAGTTAATCCTTTTAATCTTTTCAGATATTTATAAAAGAGAAAGATCAAATGGAATTCACTGTGTCGTAGTCAGTCCTTGATCACAGCACAGAGCTGATGTATTTCTACAGATGCACAGAACACAAACAGAACATACATCCTTCATAAATGGGAAACATTTTAAGCCTTTTTTAAAGTTCTGTTACAGCCCGAACGATGATTATATATATATATTTTTTTAAGCCTGTCAGTTCTGTCTTTTAGTCTCATTTTTAGTTTAACAACAAAAATACGATAAGATACATTTTTATTGATCCCCCATTGGTGGAAATGTATTTGTTGTTACCACAGCTTACAAAATAGTAACAGAATCAGCTATAAAAAGCAAAAAGTAACCAAAAATAAAGGAAAAACAAAGACAAGGGGGTTGGAGCTGCCACCCACGGGGTGCCAGATGTTACGATGGGTAACCATCAAACACTCTAATACTGTAAGCTTCCAAACGGATAAATCAGAACACCCTCTGGTCTTCTTCAGATGTCCTCACTGATTGTATTTACTATCTTTGCCAAGGAGAGCCTTCCACATAACACATAATATCTGACTCTTCTGAAGTAAGACAGCATATGCATGTTTATTAGGCTTGATAGGAACAATGTCTGGGGCAGTGCTCTTCACGTCTGCTTATGGTTAAGACGACGCCTGAACATGATCTTGACATTTACATACATAAGTCGGAGTCAGTTCTCTCGGTGCAACAGCGCCTGACCCGCAGGACTACACAATCAGTACATATCTGAAAAGGTTAAACAAGTCCCAGGGAGTCTTTGACCCAAACGAGCTCTGTGGAAAAATATGTTTTTACAAAGGGGGTGCTGTTATAAGGAACTGAATGACGTGATACACATGCCTCATACACGTCAAAACGTTCACCTGATTGACAGTTGGGTGTGTCGCGGATTGAAGCAATGCACCAGCAAAGGCAGGAAAGAAAAATACTATTACTGTTTATATTATCAGAAAACCTTGATGTGAACAACGTGCCACTTACATCCCCCCCCCCCCCCCAAAAAAAGAGAGTTGGCATCATGAGTGTTTTCCGAGGAGGAAAATGTAATCAACATGTTTTTCTCCGTTCTCAAGGACACACAACAAATGAGCTCTGAATGTATACATGTTTTTTTTCCTAATAGGAAAACTCTTCTGGGCATTTTGAGGGTCTATAGCTTTCATCTTGGACAACAACAGACCAGGAAAATACCAGACGTATTAAGTAAACTCTTCCGCACCCACACTATGGGCGCTGGTCCATACCATCATTACCAATGAAACTACCTCACTCCTTTCATGAGTTTTTAAAAGCAGAATCAAAACGGCAAATTTATGCATTTGGCCTCCAAGTCAGATTATTCCTTGTGACCAGCAGGAGGTGACTGGCTGTATAAAGAAGTGTCTTTTAAGTTGTCCTCAAATTAGCATGAATGCTAATGGAAATTATCGTCCAATTTATGTTTAGAAAACACAAAAAATCGGAGTTTTCTTTAGCGTGTTGCTAATAAGAAAATGGACACATTGCGAGCACAGTCGCATTAAAATTGTTTGGTTATAGAAAATGTTTTTGATGAGTACATTTGGGTTCAAAAAGAGGAAACTGAAGTGTGCAAATCCAGGCAAAATGCATACAGGTGCAGGACTGATGTGTACTAGCTAAGAACTGTTAGAATAAAACGGACCATTGGGAGTGGAACAGTCTGCCGACCTTTTGGTTTTAAGTCTGTTTCTCTGCTAGTCAAAATTAGCATCCAAATTAGCCTCTCACTAGCTAACTAAGCTAACAAAGCTAACTAAGCTAATGTTAACTTGTAACCTCATGCTTCTATAGCTCTAAAATGTCTTCCAAAATCAGTCCCTTCTGCTTTCATCAAATCAAGTTTGTGAATTATTGAAACAGCGGACCACATGCAACAGGTGACATCATGGTGACTGTATTAGGGTTGTCACGATTGTCCCCATTTCAATGCATTATTAGTAAAAGTCAGATAATATTGATACCTATTTTGATACCATGACAACCAAAAATATAAGTCCTCAACACCCAATGTTGGGCAATGTCTTGTTTTCAATAACCAAAGATCTGAGCAGACTCCTTTTGCACGAGTACATCAGCAACGTGATTGTGAGACGCCAAATGTTCCTGGGAAACATCAGGACATGAAGACCTGCAAAATTTGAATTGACCCCTGCTGCTCTTTGTCTCATTCTGGCAGCTTTTGGTTCCAAAAATTATACTACCGGTTATTTATAAAACTAGATTTTACTGTTTTGAAACACGTAGTTTTGTTGGTTTCTTCTTCTATAAAGTCCCTGACTCAAGCTTAAGTAAGGCTTTTAGATTTTTTAGGAAAAAGTATTTTTCTCAGTATAAACTCCTCGACCATAATCACGTATATATATACACATAACTTAATCAATGCAGCCGCAGCATCACTGTTTAGACGTGCAATGTGATTATAATTGGATTTTAACCACAGAGATTTGATTCAATCATCGTACGTTATTATATAGGTTACATAAACTTCCCATGATCTACATTTCCCTATTTGGACTCTCTCTGTAATCTTCTGTCTCTGCCTGCAGCCTTTTTGTTCTGCTTTAAACACGAGGACAGAACAGTTTGTTCTTTTCCAAACTGCCTGCAAGACCGGCCAGGCTGAGGGAGGGAGCAAGGAGACACAGGAAATAGCAGATTTCCAGCCATTTCAGATGATCTATAGCTCCCAAACAGGGAGGGGGAGGAGATGGTACACTGCAAGTCACAAATAAACACACACACACACACACACACACACACACACACAACACACACACACACACACACACACACACACACACACACACACACACACACACACACACACACACACACACACACACACACACACACACACACACACACACACACACACACACGCACACGCACACAGAGCCCTGGCACATCAGAGCACACACTCCTCATATGTGGGTGACGTTTTGAATGACATACCGGCATATGCTTGTTGTGTGTGTGTGTGTGTGTGTGTGTGTGTGTGTGTGTGTGTGTGTGTGTGTGTATATACCAAGGCCTGGTGATAGTTGTGACTGGCAGTGTCAGTCGGGCTCTGCCTTTGGCTTTGTTACAGATGTGAGGAGGAGGAGGAGGAGGAGAGGAAGGAGGAGGAGAAGAAGGTGAGGAGGAAGGGAAGGAGAGGGAGGAGAAGGAGGAGGAGGAGGTGAGGAGGGAGGAGAAGGAGGAGGAGGAGGTGAGGAGGAAGGGAAGGAGGAGGAGGAAGAGGAGGAGAGGAAGGAGGAGGTGGAGGTGGAGGAGGAGGAGAAGGAGGAGATGGATGAGGAGGAGGGGTAAGAGGAGGAGGAGGTGAGGAGGATGAGGAGGAGGAGGGAGAGCAAAAAGAAGATGGTGGAAAAGAGAAGGAAAAAGAGGAGAAGAAGCGACAAGAGCACAAGTGCCAAGAGGGCACGAGTGACATTTTGACCCAATCGATTTTTTCCATGTACTTTTGAAAAGCTCTGGTGTTTTTCTATTAATGGAAAAAAAACCTCCTTTGGGATGAAAACTGAATTGATATGAAGAGAAAACAGAGAACTTAAGGGGAAATCTGGAGGAGAAAGCTCACATGTGCATTTACTAATCGGAATCAGGGGAAAAAAGAACGAAATGAATCCTGCAGAGAGGGGAAAAGGAAAACAAGGAAATAACACAGAACTAATTTGAGGTTGTAGGAGGAGAAGAGGAAGAGGCCAAAGGGAAACATAATGAGTACATGAGAGAACGATCATATAGGACAAATGTCAGCTCCATGTGTTGGCAGTGCGAGCGAGCAGCAGGATCTCTGAGCCAGGCTTCTGTCGCTGTGTTTGGAAGCTGAGCCCAAAATCAATACTGCTGCAGCTCTCTGCCTCACCCTCCCAAGACGGGGCCTGCAATACTTCCACCAACGAAAAACCCCAGGAAAGGGAAGGAGGTTTTTCTAGTGCGGCTGAGGCAGGATAAATATTTTGTCTTTGCAGGATTTTTTCCCGACATAACATCTGCCATTTGGTTTCATCAAAATGTGTAAATCAGGACAGAATGAAAGGGGTCTCTGAACAGGCGTTTGGATTGTTTCTCGATGGTCCCTACATGACAACAGCACAGCGAGGTGAAATTTGACACTGAAAACATTGACGACATCGGGAGGCAACACACTGGTGTCGGAGATGAAGCCACAGCTGAGCCCACAGCTCCTGTGTTTACTGTTCACATCCTGACCGAGACTCAAAAGAGTTCAAATATAGTTAAATAAGAATACGGCTGAAAATGGACAAGGCCTCATTATTATACTTCTTTATGATCAATTCATTAGATTTGTTAATTATTGATTATTTAGTGTCTCAGTGTCTGAGCAATGGAGCCACAGTTATTCACTTTATACTCATCAGACACTGTTTCAGAGTTTTAAAGCAGAAACAAACATGTAGTTGTCAATGCTAATTAACAAATTAACCAACCATTCTAAGAAATGTAATATCATATTAACCGATTGTTAAAGCAGCTTAAAACGATTATCAACCACTAGGTGGCAGCAGAGCAGGCTGAAAGTAGATCATTGACATATTATTACCTTGAAACTGGCTTTAGTCAACTTGTCAGAAAGCAGTAACGTTTTTGCATTCAATTACAGAAATATCATCGGCTACCTGACAAATGTACGTCTACTATTTAATCTCTTTCAGCTCAGTTTAGAGTTTCCTACTCCTTTTGTAAAATATCTTCTAAGCTGCTATGTGCGTCTCTATGTTAACATCCTAGCTGAAAATTTGAGTCAATTAGCAGAATGTTGTTGTAAAGGTTGCAGAGGGACATTTATTTGAGCTTTTTGTTTTTTTTGGGGTTTCTTGATTGATTCAAACCTCAAGAGAAAAGTGAGACTGAAAGACAAAAAAAACAAGGTTGTGAACTCTTAAACCAAAACACTGAGCTTAAAGGTGCTAAAGTGCTCACAGAGCTGTCAGGATACTCAGCGTCAGGTGACAGTTTTTATGGGTTTGTCTCTACAAGTTAGCCTTTTCTCACTGGCTCATCATCAATCGACTTTTGATTCAAAGAACTATGGATAAGAGGAGCTTTAATATTATCTGATTCATAAATGCATTCATTATATTTATGCTTTTATATCAATTCATCAAATTGAATATGTAGCTGAAGTGTTTTAATTGGGTCTACTGAGCATTAAGTCATTCCTTTAGGACTTGATTCAAAACATAATATTATTATCTTTTACATTTAAGTCTTTGTCAGGCGTATGATTGCGTATGAATGCACTACTTTAACGACACAGTCTCCACATCTGGCTGTGTGTGTTCTTCCCACCAGGTTGAAACTCTGGATGATTTCAACACAGATGTTGAAACAGGACTCTTTGGTGTCCTGGCATCCAAAGGCGGCTTAAGAGGTCCAGACTCCCAGAGGAAAAAAACACTGACATCATTAAAGTGTGTGTGATCCGATCTCAGACATCTGTGCCCTTCATTCAGACATACTGTCAGATTTTCCCAGTTCAAATGGACGCTGGCAGGTAGGATATGCTACAAGCTCCCAGCTGTGATGCAGAGCGGCAAGGCAACACGCCGGCTAGGAGGGCGAAAACATGTGAAGAGGACTCTCTTCATAAATATATAAATACCATTCACCGTTCTGTAGACTCCAGATTTGTATGTTGCCGTTACTCCCACCCAATCTTTTTCAATATATCTCTCTCTCTCCTCTCTGTTTGTTTTTCTTGCTTCTTTCAGCTCAGGGGATTTGGAGCTGTCACTCAGACGAGGCACGGCGTCCGACAAGAAAGCAGACGGCGCAGAAGGCTTTTCGTTTATTGATGACAGACGCCGAGATGTTTTTTTTTTTTTTTCCTCTTTGGAGGTGACAAATAGAAAGAGCAATGTATACAAGGCGGCGATGAATCATGTAGCATCAGCTTCTGTGCAGTCACTCAGCCGCCTGTACTCACCGCCAAGTGACTGACAGCTACCATCTTCCTTTTCTTTAAAACACATAGAGAAATGTATCAAACACAGCGCAGCAGGACGCCGGGAGAAGCCCCTTTCAAAATGACTCGTTGGCTTTTTTTTTTGCTGCTTCTTGTGAAGAGACTTTAAAATTCAGAGTTCATTCACACTTGAGGTGTAAGAGGTGGAGGTTTTGTTTCAAAGCTGCCACTTTAGAGCTGCTTCCTCTCTCTGCATCTCAACACCTCCAATCAGGTACTCACCAGTCATACTCTTCACCGAACATTGGCTGTTCTTCCTCTTCCTTTTCGGGCCATTGAGCCACCTGAGAGAGAGAGAGAGAGAGAGAAACAGAAAGAGAGGAGAAAAATCAGTAAAGGAACAAGGGAATATTCAACACGTCTGTATATACAGTAGAGCTTAATACAGATATTTAAAAAAAGCAAAATTGAAAGGCAGACAAAACAGTGTAATCCGAACTGGATCTGCCACATCACATCTGGAATTTGTCCTGTAGTATCGTCAAACCTCAGCCAGGTGTAAAAGACAAAGAGAAGAATTTACTCAGGGTGTTTAGAGGTATAATTCCAGCAAAGCTTCCCTTGGAGGAGATGAGCCAAAAGTGATCAGACATCAGTCATCCAAACAAGCACCAGGTCCTGCATCTTCCTTTTTTTCCAGTTTTTGAAGCCCAGCACATTTTTGACTGATGGCTGTTAGCCTCTTAGTTTGCCCGAGATTTCTGATTCTGTAACTTTGCTAAATGTTGCTTTTTTCAGAAAAAGAACAAGATATCACTGTTCAGCTGAAAAATATCATGATTCATCGCCCGGGCCTACAACTGACTCATCAAATGATAGTTAAAGCCGCATGCATTGATAGATTTCCTTTCCACAGGATAGTACTAATTATAGGTGTAAATGAGCATATCCCAGAGCAACATTAGCGTTCATTTTGTTGCATGTTTTCAGCACCACATGACATCTTGAAGTCTAATGTTTACTCTCCTTGTAGCTCTGACTTTGGTCTCCACCGGCCCTCAAAGAAAAAATCTGCAAATTTGAGCTGCTAAATGCTCCTCCGTTTATTCACTTTGTTTGTTAGCAGATGAATATGTCTGTCTGCCAGTTGGCTACACAGTTGTTTTAATCAGAGCCCGCTGGAAACAACTACTGATGACAGCAGCAAGGCTTAATCAAAGCAGCTCAGTAACAGGCTGTGAAACCACAACAAGATGCAGGGAACATTTGCGGGCGACAAATGGTCGTATTTGTCAGAAAAACAGCTCCGGTCTTGAGTGTGCTCCCAAACTTAATCCAAACTGCAAGGAGGGGGGAAGAAAAACAACGTTTGTGGTGAGCACAATTAATCCCCCAAAATGAGTCCAATTATCATGGTTTACATCGGAAAGACTAACAATAACAGACGAGTCCAGAAAAAAAAAAAGCAGCAAGTGGAACATTCATGGAGCTAACACAGAGCAACACACACTCTCCACTACAGCACACCTGCAAGCGCAGCGACACATTTGAACGGCATGTGAAGGGACTTAAGTAGATGGAATAAAGAGAAAAAACTAATTTCTGAAAAGAGAGTAGTACATGAGCGAGTCAGTGAGTGCTCGCTGTCAGAGCTGGATGTGTTTAGAATCCCCAGCGTCGGGGCTCTCTGCACTCAGCTCCGCCGCAGCTCTCCGCCTACACCGGCCACCTTTCATAGCGGCTCCAGGAGAGGGAGCAGGACTCCATTAGCGGCGCGGAGTGAAACAGGGTCCCACTCTGTTTTAAGATGCAACACACGGGACTGTAGGTCACATTAGCTCTGAGGGGAAGTGCTATGGTATCATGTTCTCTATTATCAGGAGGAATGATCTCTCCTTTTGCTCGTCTTTACGACGCTCTATCTTTTTTTCTTTTTGGTTTCTGAATCAAAGGTCAGAGGGATGAAGACACTATATTATGTACAGACTATAAAAACCCTCAGAGGACAACTTGTAGTCTGTGCTGTCGGGCTATTAATTAATAATGAAAATGAAAAAAGTGTGTCCTAACTGTACGATCTATAAAAAGCATAACTGTACTGATAACACACTTTCTTTATTATAAATATAACGTTGTCTGACTTTCTGAATCAATCCCAAACTCAGGTGGTCAAAATAACCGATATTGTTTTGATACCACATGTTTTAAAATGAAAAAAGCTAAAAAAAGCTAAAAAAACAACAACAACAAACATTTTTATCGTAAGACAGGAGAGGAATAAATCCATCACAAGCTGCAGTAAGAGGGGATCAAAATGAAACTACAAATGAATTGAAGTTATTTGTTGTTTTAGAAAGAGAAGAAGAAAAATAGCCGATCAGTGGTGGTATTTTGTTTTTAGTTTTTTAAATATTTATTTTTGGATTTTTTATGCCTTTATTGGAGAGACAACACAGTGGATAGAGTTTATTAAATCCAAAGCCTCACAAACTGATGGAGTCCATCTTTACAAGTTCCTGAATTTCACAGACGTCTGTTTTAAAATAGGATACCGATGTTGGGACCACAGAAACTGAGAAAAACATTTATCTTCATTATTGCGTCATTGTTTGAATAATCTGCAGAGTCATCAAAAAAAACAAAACAGTGATGTCTAAAAAGTCAGAGAGCGCTGCTTCACACAAGGGACCAAGAGGCTGAAAGAGATTGAGATCCGTCCCTCCAGTAGAGATTGTGAACGGCCCAACTCGGACATTTTTAGAACCAAACCTCACAGAAGACTGTTATCGTTGCTTATTTATTTCATTTCAGTCCATCTAGACCCCACTTCACATCACAGACATTATATATCTACTTAAGCAACATAGCAGGCAGGGACAGGACAGGAACAGTGAGAGAGAGAGAGAGAGAGAGAGAGAGAGAGAGAGAGAGAGAGAGAGAGAGAGAGAGAGAGAGTGGAGAAAGACATGCAGGAAGAAGCCACAGGTTGGACTTGAACCTGGGCCGTCCGCTTGGAAGACCAAAGCCTCCACACATGGGGCGCGTGCACCAACTACTGTGCCACCAGCGCCCTATCAGTGGGGGTCTTGATTTAAAATACTGAATCCGCCCAGTCTGACACCGAGACGAGAACCAGTAAAAATGCTTAAGATTCCAAGACTGAGACCTCCAAAAAGTGGTCTCGAGACCGGTCTTGAGACCAGGAGTGATTTCGAGTGACACAACACTACTCACTGATATCTCTACTTGTTTACTGTAGTTTTCACTTTGGGATTTGAAGTCCAGAGCTGACATGCAGGGTCGGACTCACATCTGTAAAGCTTATTGTTTTGATTCCTGACATTAAAAATAGATACTCAGCAGAGTGTTTCTGTGTGTTTATTGTTTTCATACATCAGAACACCTTTCAGTCTGTTATTAGCTCTCATGCAAAGACACTAGCTGACAAAGTGCTGAACGAGAATCTGGACTCTGAAGGCATGAAAACAATTCTGTAGAGACACATTCTGAAGACTGTTCTCTCTTCTCATACACAACGTTTCTTATTCTGTGTCACTGCTCCTAAGTGACAGGAAACATTCCCCCCGCTTCTCTTAAAAAGGAAGCACGATTTATATTCTACACAAGCAAACGATGAGTGCCCTTTAAAGCTCGATCACATAATTGCCTATTAAGTGAGTTTGAGAGTTTCTGTAATTGAGCCTAAATGGCAAAACTTAAACTGACCTTCAGGGTTTACGTCAGCACCGTCTCGTTTCTCGGCTACAGTTTGCCCTTTTCTGAGTACATCAAACGGCTATCAGGGCAACAAATGAGGCTCTTAATAGCCTACTGACCTGAAGTTTGATTTATGATAATTGTTGTGACTGCAGCATCTAATTGGGAAAACTCATCATCCAACTATGAGGACACAATGTTCCTGTCATGATGAGGGGAAAACAGGAAGAGTCTAGAGGTTTACCTGGGAAGAGGCCACACCTCCTACATACATCCCAAAGGTTGCAGAGTTTGTATGACTCAATGTAAAGTAGGGAGGGGGGGAACTCTTTAAACAAATGATTCAGTGACTCTGCAGGCAAACTTTGGTGTCATTACTCTCTGACAGAAAAACTATTAAAGCTGTGACAGAAGCAGAAACACAAGGTGGGGTTTTCACTTGCTGGCCACTCAGAGGTAAGTCTCTCTCTCTCTTTTTGTCGTTTGGCCTCCACGTAAATCCGTACAGCTGCTGCAGGCGACAACCATCAAACTGTCAGCGGTGTGACAGCTCACTCTTCCTGCGTGACGGCATCTTAACACAGTCAAACTGGATGCAAACAGATGTTCACCTCTCTGTAAAACAACTACACCTCCCTGAGATCCT